CTCGGCCGCGTCCCCGGCGCAGCCCCTCAGTGGGCGCCCGGCCCCAACACGCGGAGTCGCCCCTCGCCCTTCCCTCCTCTCCCTCGCGCCAGCCGGGAACGTTTCGGCGCAGTTCGGGGCTATCCGCAGCGTGAGCCTCAGAGCAACGTCCCCACCGCCACCCGCGCCTCGTCCTGCCCCATGCGCAGTTTCACTGTCCCTGCAGGCCGCGGGAAGGGATGCCGAGGAGCAGGAGATGCCTCCTAGGTAGCCCCGAGCAGCGGGCACCGGGAGAGGAGTGACCCTGAGGAGCACGGGGGCTCTCCGCCGCCGCGGAGGCCTCGCCGCCCACAGCCGCTCCCCATGGAAAGGAGGTGCGCGCTGCCGCCGGACTGCCGGGACGCGCTGCTCCGCCTCAAGATGAGGAGCAAGTACGCCGTCCTGCTTGTGTTCGTGGTGGGCCTCGTCATCATCGAGAAGGAGAACAACTTCATCTCCAGGTAGGCAAGGGCGGCCGGCTGCTCCTCTTCCTCGGGCGGCTCTGGCTGCTCTCTGCAGCCCTGGCGTCCCGCATCCCTCCCTTGGTGGCCAGCACGGAGCGGGACTTGTCCGGAGAGATGGCTCCTGCTGCTGCTGTCTGTGGGGAGGACCGGGCGGGCGCCGCAGGGCTCCCCTCAGACTCCCCTCGTCACCCAATGGGGCGGGTGAACGCTGCGGGGCTCCCCTCAGGCTCCCCTCATCACCCAACGGGGCGCGTGGGCATCGTGGGCTCCCCTCAGGCTCCGCTCATCACGTCACAGGGCTCCCCTCAGAGTCGCCTCATCACCCAACGGGGCGCGTGGGCGCCGCGGGGCTCCCCTCAAGTTCCCCTCGTCACCCAACTGAGCGGGCACCGTGGGGCTCCCCTCAGGCTCCCCTCATCGCCCAATGGGGTAGGCGCCACAGGGCTCCCCTCGGGCTCCCCTCATCACCCAACGGGGCGCGTGAGTGTCGCAGGGCTTCCCTCAGGCTCCGCTCGTTGCCCGCAGGGTGTCGGACAGGCTGAAGCAGGCGCCGCAGGCGGAGGCCAACGGCACGGAGGCGAGCGTGGCGCCGGCCGAGAACGGCTCGCTGGCGTCGCTGCGCGAGCTGTGTGGCACATCGAGCGGACGGTGACCTTCGAGCCGGGCGGCGCCAACGCCGTGGGCTCGGCGCTCGTCTACAGGGACGTGCTCAAGCAGCTCTTCCTGTGCGACCTCTACGTGCTGGAGAGCTTCATCTCGCCGCTGCCCGAGGGCCACCTGACGCCCTTCATGTTCCGGCGCGGCTCAAGCCGTTCGCTCTGCGAGGAGACCGTCT